AGAGAGAGAGAGAGAGAGAGAGAGAGAGAGANANANAGAGAGAGAGAGAGGGGTGGGGTTCAGGAAAAAGAAAAGGGAGGTTGAACTTGGATAGCAAAATAACAATCAAGGGAAGCAGAAGCTGAGGGACATGAAGCAAGTGAAAAGATGGTCAAGACCTTCCTCCGAGACCACTTTCTTTATCGAAATCCCTAACTGGTGCATGAAAAACATTGAAAGGATGCTTTCTCCCTCTTCAAAAATTCCTTCAGTCTCTCTCAACTATGAGTAAAAAGATAAAGCCATCCATAACTATCCTTTTGTTTTATCCTTCTCTTCTTACTTTCCCTATTTTGTACATCTGATATGCCAAAGGAAGATAATAAATCATTAAGTATAGATAGATAGATAGATATATATATATTTGATGGAACAGTAGCAGCATGTAAATGGGTTGATAAGATAATGCTGCCGCAGTACTCTTCATGTCTATCTTAAAGATTGCTGCACAACAGGAAACCATAGTTAGCATGCATTATTTTGTCCATAATAATTGAGATCTATCTCATGTCTTTGAACAAAGATATGTGCATGTCTTGAATGATGCTGCTGAGTAATCCATGTTTTACTGGTCTTTTGGCATCCCTCACAGTGCTCTTTTATCTTCTTCTTTTTCTTTTAGGGTTTTTATTTTTATTTCTTCTGATGCTTCTTATTCTTCCTGTGATTGCAGTGTTCAAGAAGTGGCAGTGAAAAGAAAAGTGGGAACATCGCCGGGCCTCCACACCCCATTTAGATTCTCAATTATTGAGCCCGACATGCAAGTATAAAAGGCCACCCCCCACCTCGCAATCTTAGACCAAGCCGACATCACATACGGCACTCACCCGCTTCTCCTGAGTCAGGGTAAGCCTTCCACCACCACCGCTGTACCTTCTCTCTTCTCTAATGGAGGTGTCTCCATGATTGCAATGTTTGTCGATTCTTATCCTTAAAATGAGTTCTTGATCTGTCTCTGTTGGCTATCTTGGAGCGTAGGAGTCGGCAAGATGAACAGGAAGCCGGGAGACTGGACCTGCAGGTCCTGCCAGCACCTTAACTTCAGCCGCCGTGACTCGTGCCAGCGGTGCGGCGACCCGAGGCCGAGCAGCGACCGCTCCGAGTACGCCAGCTTCGGCGGCCGCGGCGGGTCCTCCTTCAGCTTCACTGGCTCCGACGTCCGGCCGGGTGACTGGTACTGCTCCTGCGGTGCCCACAACTTCGCCAGCCGCTCCAGCTGCTTCAAGTGTTGTGCCCTGAAGGAAGACTCCGCGGTCGGCGGCGGCGGTGGCTTCGACGGCGACATACCACGCTCCCGGGGCTACGGCTTCGGCGGTGTCGGTGGCGGTGGCGGTGGGCGCGCCGGGTGGAAGTCCGGGGACTGGATCTGCAACAGGTGTCTTTCACGTCCCCCTCTCCTTTTCATTGTTTGATTCAGAGCAGCAGTAAGAAACACAAGGCGATATGTCTCTATCTGTAAGCGATACTATTACCTCTCATGAACAAGCCTTTTACTAGAGTCTGGTCTACATCATTAGCACCATAGACTGCTGCATGATCGGCACATTATTTATGCTGATAGAACCAAACAAAACGGTCTTAGTATCTCTACTTGCATCTTTACAGGTCGGGCTGCAATGAACACAACTTCGCCAGCAGGATGGAATGCTTCCGCTGCAACGCACCGAGGGATTCCGGTAACCCATCCGCCACTGCACTAATCACACTTTGCTCTGAACTTAATTCCTGATGACACCACCAACTGAGATCATCTTTGGCCCCTCATTGCAGGCACCGAAGTCTAAGAAGAAGATGAAGATGACCAAAAGAGATGAACGAGAGCTTATGATACAATAGTAATCTCAAGTTGTAGTACTAGTTTTGCCACCTCTCAGACTTATTTTTCTGCCTTTGGCTTTAAAGCCCATGTTCTATGTTGAGTGTCTTTCCTTTTTCTTTTGATGTCCTGTGTCCTTCATCCTTCTCATACTTCAGAAGTTTGTTGCTGCACCTCTTCTACTTGGATAAGTGTCTTGGTGAGTCTTGTTGGAAAAGGGCTTCCTCGCTTCTTGTAAGACAGGATGGTGATCTTTGAAATAGGTAATAGGAAGTCCCTTTCTATCTTATTATGAATGAAAGATATATATATATTCTAGCACAAAATCTTTTCTGTTCGACTCTGTCATCTCCATTGGTGGGATATGTTCTCAGACTCATAATGAAGGTGGTCCAAGGATTGGAAGTTTTAATCTAAAGCATATAAAAGCACCATTGTCATCTGATAAAGGATGAATCTGGAAAGAGATAGATACATGATGGAGAGATAAGAAGAAGACCTTAACAAAAAACAATAACAGCAGTAATGCTGTTCTGCCATTTTTACCATGCTTATACATTTGTAGCCAAAATCTATCCTCTTTAAATCGCATTGGATTCTCTTTAGCTTTTGAGCCAGCTTTACTAACTAAGGTTCCCTAAGATGAGCTGTGGCATGTCAGCTAAGAAATAGATCTGGTCAAAAGTCCATGGCACCTCCAATTATTTATTTCTTAGCACCTCCATTACTTGCACTTTTAGCAGCACTCTTTTCCCTGCTCTCTTTTGTTACTTAGCACCTCCATTACTTGCACTTTTGAAGACATATCTTGGACACAATTACTATCTTCTGTTCATCTGGAGGATCTGTAAACAATGCATCTATTCTACATGCTCTGTTCTTGGCTTACATGCATTCTAATGGAGAAGAATTAGTGTCTCTCCTCTGTGCTTACCCAGAATACTTCCAAGTGCATATAGATGCAGAGAGCTAACCATTCTCTGATGAGAAAAATCCAATAAATATATAGAAACTGAAGTTGAGTTGATGCAAACTAAACAAACTTAAAGTCTGAAGCTTCTGATGGCAAGGCTCACTGCAAGACTTCATTGCAGCTGATCAAAGTTCTTAATATTCATGCAAGTGATAGAAGTAAAAGAATTTGATAGTTGTCAAGTAACCACAGTTGATCAAAGGGCCTATGAGTGTGTCAAGGTGATCACATTGTCCTCACCTCAGGTAAGAAGATTGTGTCACAGACTCAATAAATATTTGTTTTAATTAGTCTAAGCTATCTACAATCCATAATCCAAGTCATGAAAGACTCTGTTATTTTTGCTACATAAACCATTTATACTTGAATTCAAATGGATTTCATCCCCTGGATCAGCATCATCATTCATGATAGTGATTATCTTGTCTTGTCCTGAATTCTAAAATGGATATAGTGGGAGATATTTATCTGATAAAAAAAAAATTCTATAAGAAAAATTAAAAGAAATATATCTCAAAACCTTCAATGAGTACTATCACAAGCAAAAAAGACATCTGCTCCCTTTATTATAGTCAAAAGGAGAGGAACCATCAGCCACCGGATCAGCTACTCATCCAACGGTTCAAAAGCCTCCACGCTCGCCTTCTCCGCTCCTTTGGATTCCCACCCGGTTTCCGGCTCCTCCTCCGTCCACGCTCACTAGCTTGACACCGTTCGATGCGTTATGATCGGACGGTACGAAGCGCATCTCTGGATCCCGAACCCCCACCTTGATGTTCTTCGCTCGGTCTCCTTCCCCGCTCTTCCTCGAACCGTAGAAGTGAAGCCGAGTACTCGAAGCAACCTCCTTCCTCTTCTTCTTCTTCTTCTTCTTCTTCTTCTTCTTCACCGACGACGAGGAGGATGCTGCAGGATCAGGCGACCAGCTCCCTTCATTCGAGCAGCGAGAGGTCCTCTAGCCCCCCGCCTCAGATGGAAGTCAAAGAAGGCATGTCTCATCTTTTATTGCCTGATTTGTCCTGATATAACTTGTTTGATCCATTATTTTGCTTGACAATCTTGTTTTTCTTTCTCAAAATATTGATTTTTCTCGTTTAATTTGATCAATGTGCCAATTTGTTGCTTTTGCTTCGTCGATATTACTGCTTTATGGCAAATGAGGGAGTTTCACTGTATCTTAATTCGAGTTTCGAGATGCGTTTTGGATTTTTAATCTCTTCATGCGAGGATGTCGGTGAAATGGGGTGTTTATGGCTCCGATTTAGGACTGGAGAGCGACGAGGAGATCAGGAGAGTTCCGGATTTCGGATTCGAGCCGCCCGGCCCGTCGACCTCCGGCCGGGAGGCCACTTCGATGGCTGGTCCGGACCGGGCCCAGTCCGCCGCCCAGCCCGTCCCGCGGCGGAGAGGAAGGCGCCCCGCCGACAAGGAGCACACTCGGCTGAAGAGGTTTGGAACATGTTTCCTCTTCTGCCCTCCATTTGGATATTTCGGAAAGGATCTATTGACGTGATAGCCCGTTTGACTGCTTTTGATGTGGCCTTTTTCCACGAAAGGTTGCTGAGGAATCGAGTGTCAGCTCAGCAAGCAAGGGAGAGGAAGAAAACTTACCTGAATGATTTGGAGGCCAAGGCGAAGGATTTGGAGGCCAGGAACACAGAACTGGAGGAGAGGTTGTCCACGTTGCAGAATGAGAACAACATGCTGAGACAAGTACGTCTTATTCACTCCTTGTCATGGTCACAGTTACAAACGTTGACACTCCATCATTGTACGAGGATTTGAAATCCTAGAATTTGTCAGAAGTTTTTTTTAGTATAGATCCAAATTATTCAATGAAACTTATCCAAATTCCAGGTAATGATTGGATATTTGTTTTTTGGGGGACTTGAGGATTTCATGCAGGATTGGGAATCCTAGGATTTGACAATTTTGTGGCTCCATTGGAGCTTAGATCTTAAATTTTGGAGAGTGAAATCCTAGAGGGTGGGATTTAGAAGGTGGAATTTGGAGGGGATTTTCTCAAATCTAAAAAATTTATAACACTAAATATGTTTGGAATTGAATGGAGGAGGGATTTGGAGGGTAGAATTTGGATGAAAGTGACTATTTTAGTATCAGAATTTCGAAACCAAAATTTTCGGATGAGATTTCAAGAGACCAGTCTTTTCATTAGGGAATCTTTGGACATAATGTGTTAATTTTTTACTGTCAGTAGTTCATAGTGGTTATGTATTTTATAGGCGTTTTCTTGTAATGCTTCCTATCATCTACTTTTCATAAATTTTCTTTTATAATATATGAAATTCATTAGGATGCCTTCCTGAATATAGAGTTTTGCTTCTCTAAAGCTATTAGTTTGTGACTGTCGTGATATATGTTTCTGAAGTTAATGACCATATTTGTAAAACTGAATGTAGATATTGAGTTTCTACAGTTTGAGTAGGGATAAAGCCACAAAGTATGCGCAGAGGGGGCATATACAATGTTCATACACAAATACATCGAAGGACAATAAATTCAAATGAAATCTTATAATTTTTTAGATTACAAAAGTAACTAAAAAGTATAAACATAGGCTTAAGTAGGGTAAAATATGTGTAATAAAGGAATTAAATGAGATATTATCATCTATAGTTTTAGAACTTGAAAGATTTTGAATCTTCCTCCACTGGTTTGAGTACACAAAAAGATGTCTTTTTAAGAACCAAACTGTTCTCATCTTGCCACAACTTCTTGTCATATACCAAAACCATTTATTATTGTTTCATTGTTGTTGTGTGTGTATATATATTTATAGGAATAAAAGAGCAGGAAAGATTATGATGGTGTATGGTGGACTTTTTTTTTTCTTCTTATCCATGAGGACATCTTTACATATTCCTCGTGATTCGGGCAACCCGCCTGATTTGGCAGGGACAGTAATCCAGCTTACATCTTGTATGACATAAGGCTAATCTTTGCCAAATTGTCTGGCTTTGTGAAGCCTCATTCATGACTCTCTCTAACAATGACACCTAATTTCTGTTTTGGAAACAACACTCTGCCACTGGGCCTTCAATTTCTTTGGATGTGTAGTGGATGTTTGCCAATTTACACTCCACTTCATGCTTCTCTGATGCTTAGTAGTGTTTGTAAGCTATTCATGAGTTTGTTGTCTGGGATTTATGTTACTTTGCTTGAAGACATTTTAATTCAGGAAATGAAAACTTATCTGACAACTTCTATTTCTCCTGCAGATCCTGAAAAACACTACTGTTTGTAGGAAAGGATCTAATATTGGTGCCACTGAGGAAGGCAGGTAGAGAATTGTTCTAAACACCACACTTTCTTTGGATATTGAGATCTCACACCAACAAGTCTGTTGTAATCTCATAGTGACCCTGGTGAAAGGGTCCATGAAAGAAAAAGAAAGACATTTATGATTGAAATGTTGTGGGTTTTTGTGTCAAGGAACAGCTTGTGTACTCTTTCCATCTGAATTTAATTTGTTGGATGAGTTTTTTATTCTCATCATGAAGATCTTCATGTCATTAATTGGATGAGCAAAAACATCATTTACTTCTACTAATTATTTGTATCAGTGATTTGGGTTCAGTAACACATCAAAAGAAAAATGTTTCACCCTTTATTATTTTTCAAAATCGGGTTGGATTTAGGTGGAACAAATCCAAATCCGATTCCATTTGCCTCTACGAACAGATGGTGTCTCTACTACATACGGTACCGGAGTTTAGGTGGAATGGATCCGAATCCGATTACTTGACGCCTCTGGTGTTCCGAACGCCGTTTCGCGTGCTGTTCTTTTGGGGTTGCGGGTTAGGGTTGGGGTTGTTTCGAATCGTCTCTCTGTTCGCAGGCGAAGCGCGCATCAATGGAGATCGCGGACGGCGTTGACAATCTGAGCGTCGCCGCCGATTCCCAGAAGAAGAACCGCATCGATGTCTCGAACACCAAGAAGCCACTCTTCTTCTACGTCAATCTCGCCAAGGTACGGAACGCCCAGTGCTGTCATCGATGTTTGGTTGATGTGGTGGCTTGGCGAGAAGAAATTTGTTTGCTTTTCTAGCTTTAATTTCCCCTTTCTTGGGGTAAAATTCATCGACTTAACAATCTTGGGTTCCAAGTTATATCCATTGCTCTTTAATCCGCGATTGGGGCTCGGACGTTGTGGTGTTTGCTTCATGTGCTTGTATGTTCCATGTATGATTTATTCGTTGTATGTCTTGTAACGCTATTGCACTATTGGTTGCAGAGATACATGCAGCAGCACAGTGAAGTGGAGCTTTCGGCTCTTGGAATGGGTATGATTTCTTTTCTTCCCCACTCGATCATGCTATATAACAACCGTTCAAGTCTATATATTTTCGTCATTGTCTTGATGATTTTTCTTGATGGTTGCAATCATTTGTCGAACTGGCATAAGTATAAGAATGCCATATTTGACACAAAAGTAAGCCAAAGTGCTCCACAAATTCTGAATTTTCTTGTCATTCTCTTGTTATCTTGTCTTCAATGATTCTGTTTTATCAGTTCTATGGTTATTGGTTTGCATTGTCTTCGAGAACATACTGTTCTTTCTGAAAGCATTCGTAAGACCTCACTTCGTTTGTGGATGTCAACTTATCGAGTCTCTTCATTCAATTTGATTTTGGGCAACTAGATCATTACACAAATTTTCTATTGATTTTGCTTTTCCGTTTCATCTAGGATCACTTTTCTCTGCCTGTTCATTCAACATCTGTACTTAACTTTGATCAACTCATCGCTGTGTAAATCAGTTGAAGTTGTGTTTTTTCTTTGCTTTACAACTTTGGTTAAAATGTTAGACCTGTTTATTGATTTTAATCTCATTATTTCTGGTACTTCTTTTTTTCTTTAATGCTTCTATGCTTGATTATATTTTTGTGCTCACTTTGTTATACTATTCTTAACCTTTACACCATATAATATGTCTGTTGTTGTATACGACAAAGAGAATAAAAGTGAAGTCGTAGTGTTTTCTGCATGCTTTTGCAACTCAGTTATTTTCTTATTGATTTCATTCTTATCTTGTCCTGTTTTATTAAATGTATGTACTTGCATATACAATGTTCTAAAGGGTGCAATGGAATAGGGATAAAATGTACCAGATAGGGCATGTGAGATATTCAGGTGCCTTCGCGGGCAGATGCATGATTGATATTAAAATGTATAAAGAAATATAATCAAGTAAAAGCAAAGAACATATGGTATGAGATATACCAGACCTATGCTGTTCCAGCCAATGACCAATGCTGGTTGGGTACCTGAAACTTAAAACCTTGATTTGAATGTTCACATTAATTAGGGAGCTTGTGGAATGCCTATGTTATTTGGACCGATTAAAAGCTTCAGGTAGTGGAAAGTGAGCAAAAAGCTAGTACAGAATTTCACATCTTGCATCCGGTCTTGTTTTTGTTGATTGATGGTTCTTTTACCCTAACTTTTTTGTGGTAAAATTAGTATCTTTCACACTACATGTAGCATCAATATTGTGGAATATGTTGTTGCTAAGTTGATAAAATTTTGTTTTTAGCTGTGCAAATGTGCTTAAAGATTCATAATTCCTGGTTGTCTGACACACACACACATACACAGCCTACAAATCTTGTTATAGTTTTTTTAAACTGCATTCATACTGATCACTTCTTTTCAATTGTTTCTTCAGCCATTGCAACTGTAGTCACCATGGCAGAAATTCTCAAAAACAATGGTCTTGCTGTTGAGAAGAGTAAGATATACCACTAGTTTATCTTATTACCCTTTGAATTATATATTTGACATAGTTGGTGTCTAGTTGTTCTTTCAATAAAAAATATCCAGAGATTACAACATCTACCTTTGATGTGAAGGATGAATCAACGGGATGGCTAATGCAGAAAGCAAAGGTACAATTTGACTGAACAATAACACAAATTGTAATAGTTTCTGATGTGTGTTTCCATGCCCAGATTGAGATATTGTTGGGGAAGATGGAAAAATTCGATGAGTTGATGGCTGCGGCGGCAGCAGCAGTAGCAGTGGTGGAGAAAGATGGCAGAGATGGTGAGGAGCAGAGCTGAAAGAATGAATTCCAAAGTTTTGTTATTCCTTTGAATTGAAGAGCACCAACATGAAGATTTCTAGGCTAGTAAGCTTCCGTTGGCTGAGCATTGCAGCTTCTTACATGGGTAATCTTTTTCATGCATCGAATTCAAATCAATATACACAGTCCTAAATCCCAAATCATTGATTCTGGTATGGCCCATGGTGGATAGATCGAAATTAGGAGTGTGTTTTGCTTATTTGGAAGACATAATTTTGTCATTCACATTGGTGATAAAGACTAATATGTCTCTTATCATAATTAATTGAAGAAATTACTTCTGGTATTTTTTTTTCTTCTGTTTTTTAGATCAGTAGCAGGGGATGTTGCAGAGTACATCACAATCAATAAGTCACAGGGCACATGGGTTCAACCAGGGTGCGGTCTCAGGCATCTCGGGTCAGAGAAATGTGGTCCCTAATGCATCGGTTCACAAGCGACACGAGAAGTATCCGTCTCGACTCGACGCAATGTGATCCGCCCCTCGATTTTTATGGCCTTCTTCCCTCCCGCCTTTGATCTCGATCTCCCAATCTATATTGATGATAGCTTTCTCAAACTCTCCCCATTCCACTTCAGTCTCTACCCTCTCGCCCTCTTTCTCTCGTCTCGAAAGACTTCAAGGTTTTGAGTTGTTCCCTCTCCTCCCAGAGCTCGTCGGATCACGTCTCTTTCTTTAAGAAAGTATGCGATCTTCGGATCTCTGGTCATTCGTATTCTTGTTTGTTGTTTAGTAGAAATTGCACATATAATCGAACCAACTCATTTCTTGCTTGTATCTTAAGGAAAAATATCATTGACGTCTTAGTCAGCCTGATATGATTCGGACCCAGATGCATAAGATTGTTCAAGGTGTTTTCGAAGTGAGAACACTTAGCTCTTGAGATGTCATTTACATGAAGATCGAGGTCTAAGAGAGGTTTCTCGACTTAGTCCATTTGATGTTCTAAGTTAATAACCTGAAGTATAAAAGTGTGGGTATCAATAATTCAAGGAAGTCTCTCTTTTTCTATGTTAGAGGTAAGTTTTTATACCTATTGTAAATGGTATGAAAAAATCTTATGATTTGCCTTTCTCGCCATAAACGTTGGGAAGGAAGATTGAAATTGTCTTTCTCGTCATTTAAGCTAGTGATTGTCCTTCTTGCCATAAATGGCAAGACAAAAAAATTGGAGACGAAATTAATGTAACGATATCTAGGACATCCGAGGTGCCATATAACGATATCTAGGCTTGAAAAGCAGCAATGTCCTCAAACGAGTTGGTATTACCATCGAAGGCCTTCAATAATTGGAGACGAAAGTTGGTTGGGATCGACTCTTCTTGGATGTCATTGGTGAATAGCGATCATCCTGAGGTGGGGTTAGCCGACCCTTCTTCTCTGGATTGTTAGAATTCTCAATGCATTTCCTCTACGTTTGTCCATTTATCGTAGTTGGATTATCAAGGAATCATTTATCAAATCTATAGATTGGGTTTAGGATTCAGGTGGCATAAGATGGTAGTATGTTGGTCCATTGAATTCCACAGTTAGGGAATAAGATGCTTGCTCGACAGGCCTCAACGCTTTTGAGATATTTGCATTGTGTCAGGTGGGGGAACCTCGACGAGCTTTAGTGTCAATGTCGATTAAGCTGTTGGCGGTGGTTGAGGCGGTGGCATTGCTTGTTGAGTGAGTTGAGGCAAGAGCAGAATAATAGCTTGCATTATACTTATTAGTATTTGCACTTGTTGGGTGAGGTTTAGAAATGTCCCAACGGGGACAAGCAGGTGACTCCAGGTCGACCCTAGGTCATTGAATGAATGCCAATATTTCATTAGTATTTGTGCCGAGATAAATACGTCTATGCACGAAAAGGATGGCTATTGCGCCCCCGGAATGAAAATACTATGGTTCGACGATGGGCCCTTCTCGCTTAAGCATTAGAGGGTTGGTAGGTAGACATTTTTATGATATCATGCCCTCTTTCTAGCACCAAAATATTAGGAAAAAAATATCGTTAATGTCTTAGTCAGCTCGATGTGATTCAGATCCAGATGCATAAGATTATCTGAGATGAGAACGTTAGCTCTCGAGGTGCCACTTGTATGAAGATCGATGTCAAGAGAGGTTTTCTGACCTAGTCCCTTCAACACTCAAGTTAGTAACCCAAGGTATAAGAGTGTGAGCATCAATAGTTCAAGGAAGTCCCTCTTTTTCTATGTTAGAGGTCAGTTTCTATACATGGCTGTAAAGGATACGAAGGAAGCTTGCAAATATCTTTCTCGTCATAAATAGCAAGAAGAAGGAAGCTTACGATTATCTTTCTAGTCATAAACAACGAGAAGAAAGCTTATGATTGTCTTTCTCGTTATAAACAACAAGGAAGCTTATTAATTGTATTTCTCGTTGAGAAGGAAGCTTGTGATTGTCTTTCTCATCATAAATGACAAGAAAGAAGCTAGTGATTATTTTTCACGCAACAAATGATAGAAGAAAGCTTTATATTCTCTTTCCTCTTTCTTGTCACCCTATTAGTCTTTTTAAATAATCTCTATCTTTCTCATCAAGGAAGTTTGTGATTGTCTTTTTCTCACCATAAATGACAAGAAGGAAGTTAGTGATTGTCTTTCTTGCCATAAATAATAAGAAGAAAGTTTTATTTTCTCTTTCCTCTTTCTTATCACCCTATCAATCTATAAAGAATCTCTATCTTTCTTGTGAAGCTTGTGATTGTCTTTCTCACCATAAATGACAAGAAGGAAGCTAGTGATTGTCTTTGTCGCCATAAATGATAAGAAGAAAGTTTTATTTTCTCTTCTCTCTTTCTTGTCGCCCTATCTTTCTCATCATAAATGACAAGAAGGAAGTTAGTGATTGTTTTTCTCACCATAAATGATAAAAAGAAAGCTTTATTTTCTCTTCTCTTTCTCATCATAAATAATAAGAAAAAAACTTATGATTGTCTTTCTCATCATAAATGACAAAAAAGAAGAAGAAAGCTTTATTTTCTCTTTCTCTTTTTTGCCACCCTATCAATCTCTAAAGAATCTCTGAAGTTATCGATGAACACACTATCAATCTCTAAAGAATCTATGAAGTTATCGATGAAGGGAAATGCATATGAATCAAGGTAGGGAAAGAGCTCCATAATTCGATTCATCTGCAAATTCTAAGTAGATGTTTCGACCTGGGAGGCGAACTTGATCCCGTGGGCTCATCGGTAACGAAAAACACGTGTGGTGGCTCTCTCATACAAGTTTTGAGAAATTTGTGAGGAGTATCTTAATTTTTAAATATTTTAGTGAAAAGTTTATTTTACCCTTTTGTCATTCGCAGTGCATTGCCGCATCCTCTGCCACCGCCTCTCCCCCTCTTGCTCCATCTTGCGTAAGGACCACCACCATCTCCTTGACCCCCATCAGACCCATCGCTATCAAGACCGGATTGATATGTTGTTATCATTAAAAAGAAAAAACCTACACACTTTTTTGAAAATAAAGACACTTTTTTTAAAAATTTCTTAAAATTAAAATTTTTTTATCTTATTATCAATTACAATTCCTAATGGTCCATTTACCCCGTCAAGTCTCATGCCAACAATAATTGCATGTCAAAATAATAATAATAATAATAATAATAATAATAATAATAATAACCTCATCTAATCTCAGACCAAAGAATTATTCTGAAATAATAGAATAATTACATATCAAAATAATAATAATAATAATAATAATAATAATAATAATAATAATAATTGCCTCATCGAGTCTCAGACCAAAGAATTATTCTAAAATAATAGAATAAACCATTCCGTTAGCAAACATTTAGGCATGTCAAAATAAAATATATGAAGAAAGATCCAAATATACTTTGCTCACCTAAGTCTGCCATGGAACCAAGGAGATCGTCGGTCAGATTCCCGGTTGTCGGTGCATATCATCCAGCTCACCGGTAACACTCAAATCATAATGCAAGACACCTTTTGGCCCACCTGCATTTTCCTTAAAATTAACATGTTGTCGATGATTAACCATCCACAATCATTTTTTTTGTCCCATCTTAAGGATCTTCCATTAAAACAATCAAAATGGAGATATACAAAAATCCAATCTATGAAGTAATAGTTGCTTTACGTTGCCCACAATGCAAAAGAAGGGAGGACAATCAACAAGCACAACATTCTCACTACTACTTGAAAGGTGGATCCTGCATCAGCATGAGAAAGTGACAATTTCATGATCACTGGCCCTCTTCTGATTCCTTCTTTGGGGCTTCGTTGATCTCATCAGCTCCATCCTCCTGTCAGGCAACATTAGTTAGATGATAAAGGTAATAGAATGACAAAAGATAACAGTGCCACCAAACGTGTAAGTAAACCAACCGTAATATCAGATGTCCACAATGTCAAGTTATCTCGGAGAAGCTGCATAATCAAAGTACTGTCCTTGTATGATTCTTCACCCAAGGTATCAAGTTCAGAGATTGCTTCATCAAATGCCTGCAATTGACACCAACTTCAAAGTTTCAAGAAGTGAACCAAAAGATTCTCCGGTTGAGTCAATCAAATCAAACCACTGGACTGGTAAACGATGAACAAACCATCATCAATCATGTCTTCGAAAACCCAGATAGAAACAAATTTCATCAAGCGATCTAGCTTTCTAGATTGACTTCTAAAATGTATAGATAAAGAAGATGAAAAAAGAGACAAAAGTCTTGTCAGATTAAGCAGCATTTGTTTGGCAAAACACAGCTTAAAGTCAACTTGGAACGACTCAAAACACAAGTGAGATGACCTGATGAATTATCACCACAATCTTACTTGACTCTTTTTCTACCAACCTTTTCTATTGGTTAGTGATCCCATTGTTTATATGTGCTTTTTGGTTATCTGTCCATTAGCATGCCAAACTACAAGTAACAATCCAAAGTTCCACAATTTATTAATTAATCAGTAACAGGACCACACGTAGTCTGTAGTTTGCTGGCCAAATAAACAATGCTTGGAATCAACATATAAAATAGAAAGTGCAACAAGTTGATTAGAGTATTTGCAGGTCTACTAAACAAAAATAAGCTCCATCAATCACACACCAAATCAACTATTTGCTGAGACATACCAAATAGACTCATCATGGTTTGTTCACTTTGCTTCATTAATTACCAAACTTTTGGAAGTTTCTCAGTGAGGAACCTTCTAGGAAACATGGTACCGTTTGAATTAATGGATTCTATTCATGGGCTTTGCAATGGAATTCTATCCTGCCATAAATGGAGCTTACAACCATGGTCAGATTCACATGGGACATTTTTTCGACCCTAACATATGACACGACAGCAGCAATGATACATTGAATTTAGGGAACAGAGAGGACAAAAGATCTGCAGCCTTTCACAGTAATGTCAAATATCTGACTTCGTAAAATCATACCTTTAAAATAACAATGAACAAGCCCTAGTCTGACAACCAATCAGACAGTCATTGTATCGATCAAAACCATAAAAAGGAAAGATATCAACAACTATTAACCTACTCATGTAAGTGGAACAAGTATCATTTCCAAAGTAGAAAACTCTTATCACAAAGCATTTTGTAGGCTTTTATTGACTGGATGATATTGGAAGCCATATTAATTATCACAACTAAGTCTAATGGGCTAACTGACCTATCAACTTTATTAAACTCAAACCATTTATCAAAATGCTTAGGCTAAAATTGATAATAATATATATATTAGACCTTTATAAGTCAATCTTAATCTTGTCAACTTCCAATGTGAGATTAATCAGGGTGTTACATGAATGCTAACTTCTTAAGAAGACACTTAGAACCAACCAATGGGATCTTAAGCATCATATCTGATGTATATAGAATCTCAAAATACTGTATGAATTTATGACTAATTGACCACTAATAAAAACCAACCCTATCGAGATGTTCACCTGAATTAGCTCCCTAGAAACATGAATACAGAAATATCAGGGTTCATCAATTTTGCATATAGATCATCTGAATAGTTAGCCTCACCTGCCATAATTAGAAAAAGTCCAAAACAATTTCATATGTAGAGATTTGTTGGTTGTTTCCCTTTCAGAATATCAAGTTTCCTTGTAACAGTAAATTATTAAAAAAAAAATTATTTGTTTATTATTATAGAATAATAAAGATAAATTAACAAAATGCTTCACCAAACTCTTTGGCAGAATAATGAAATCATCTCCTATTTCAGGTTCAATGCAAGTATGCTAATGTATTGAACACCCAATATTATATTCTAAACTCTGAAGTATTGGCATGACAAAGCTTTACAAGCAATCTCCAAATTCAGAGTATACATCAAAACCAATATAATACATCTAATAAATAAAATTATCATAAATCTAAAATGGCACAAAGTGGAATAAATTGTATAAAGTTGTTAAACTAAAACTCTTCTTTTGTCTCATTTATAAACACCAACTAATTCTAACTTCACCCTTTATTATTTGACTGACCAAATTTATCATATTATACTCAGTGTGTCAAACAAAGGCATCGTCATATGATAAATTTATCAATTTATCATGACTGTTGTTGTTGAAGATTATTTAGCAACGTCACCATTACAGTGATGAAGTGCAATTCATGCACCTCATAAAAGTAATTATTTTCAGATTTGACATGCTGATGAAAATACAAGTCAGCAATGCAATAAATGGTTGTAGAATGTCAATCGAACATAACATTGCTCTGAATAAAAGACACGTGGGATCTGTGAGATAAACCTGCTTGGCAAGGCTGCAAGCTCGGTCTGGAGAGTTAAGAATCTCGTAATAGAACACAGAGAAGTTGAGTGCTAGCCCCAGTCTTATAGGATGAGTGGAAGCCAGTTCAGCTAAAGCAATATCCTGTTGCAAGTTTTGCCAAATGTACAAAAATTGAAGCAAAGTTTACAAAACTGACTTGTAAAAGAGACAGAAAGGATAATTTTCCAGTAATGAATTTGCAAAACATGAAAAATGATCTTTACAATGATCAGTATTACATCCACATATTTATATGATATCTACAGAAGAAAAAGTTTTTTACCAAATCAAGAAAATTACTGAAAAGAAGGAGATCAAAGCAATGCCTGAAAATAAAGATAAACATAAGCAGTAAATAAAGATCGAAAGCCATGCTTCTTCTGTAAACAGACCCCTTTTTTGTCTGCAATCGATAATACTGAATGTGATATAATGCTATTGCACAAAATAAAAGATCCGAAGCTTGAATCATGGACTCAAAATCCTTTCGTTCTTTCCTTGATCTACCTCGAATAATAATTCAATTCTTGAAAGGAAATGCATATTCTCAGCATTGCAAGGAGTTATTTCAAAACAAAGATGGGAAAAGACAGAATCAAAAGAAGATTGATTAATAAATAAAAGTTACACACCTGCGCAGATTTGTATGCCAAAAGAGTGCTTTCAGCTGCTTCTTTCCTCTCAGCTCCAGTCTTGAATTCCGCAAGGTACCTAAGCACAACACCAAAGAGTATCATAGTTAATCAAATCCAGTTGTAGTATACACAAATTTATTCTTCATTTTTAGTACAACTACATTCTTTTTCTGGGAGAAATATACATCAGCTAACCTGTGGTAGTCACCCTTCATCTTAAGGTAAAACACCTTGGACTCTGCACTGGTGGCGGAAGGGGTGAGGTGGGAATCAAGCAGCTTCAGGATCCCATCGCAGATCTTGCTGAGCTCGGCCTCGACCTTTCCACTGTACTCCTTGATCAAGGCGACGTGATCTTCGTTGCCGCGGCTCTCCTCCTTCTGCTCGATGGAGGAGATGATCCGCCAGGACGCGCGGCGAGCTCCAATCACGTTCTTGTAGGCCACGGAGAGGAGGTTGCGCTCCTCCACGGTGAGCTCCTGCCCGTTGATGGTCTTCACCACCTTCTCCATGAACTCCACCATCTCCTCGTACCGCTCCGCCTGCTCCGCCAGCTTGGCCATGTACACATTCTCCTCGCGGGGCGACTCCACCGGAGGCATTTTGTTAGATCTCTACCAAGAAATCCCTCTCTGGCGAAGCATGAACAGATCGACATCAAGAATATTAGGCCCCAAATTAAGAGAACACTACAAAGGAAAAAAGTTCGCACAGAACAATTTCCACAATATCCATCAATCAGAAGGGATCTTAAAATTCCCCGATCAAACTGTTCAAAATTACCCGTCGCTTCGTTCCTAGTGACTCGATCTAGGAACTCAACGAAGAAAGCACTCATGAAACAACATAGAGAAATCAAAACCTAGATTAGATATCATATGCCGAAATGCATCATCACAAGAATTTCCGCAGATGAAGAAACTGTTCGAGTCTTATATCGGCGACACACGGCGGAATCTAAAGAAACAACGGCGAGAAGAGACGTACCCTTCACCGAAACGAGATGCTTAGGGTTCCTCTGTCTCCCTGGCCATCGCCTTCCGGGTTATTTAGGGTGAGACAGGTGCGGCGATATGAAAGAGACTAATACTCTCCTACCTGATTCTCGTGGACCCGTCGTCACCACCTTTGTAATTTTGAGGCCCACATGAATTTGGCCAATGAAAATTCTGGTAAGCACGAGTGACGGATGATCCGGTGTGGAAAGAGACCGTGGAAATGCGGAGACTCGGAAGGAGGTGGACGCAACACGCCACGACGACCACGCGGAATGCGGCCCCACTCGAGCAGGCCGATGCGGAGCTGCCAAATTGACCGACAGCCCGCGTCATGCGGCCGGAGAGAAAGGGCGGGCCGAGGATCCCCTGTCTCGCCCGAGGCGAGGAACAGGATCTGCCCGGCTTCTGATGACGTCATCGATCCCGGACCGGCCTGAGTCAATCTCACCCTTTCAAATTGTTCCTTCTCAGATCGTGTAAGCGTGGACCGATGACGTTGGCATCGGTGGGCCCCGCACGATAACAACGATGGGTCCACCCCGAAAACATCTCCTCTCAGAGGATGATAGAATATTAGATTTAATCTTATGACCCACTTAAACGGGGAAGCACGCATTGCTTTAGGACGGAATGGGGTCCGAAGATGGGTAAAAGTGTCGACTGAAGATTAGATGCCTACAGAGTTAGTCGGGTGTTGGTGAAGTTTGTGGGTACGTGCAGTAACGTCTTCGTAAGTTTGGTCAATATCGTTACGTGCGTCATCCGAGATCAAAGGACCCGCTCGGCTCGGTCTGCCTTGGTTCAATGAGGCCCGGTTTAATCCAGACCGGCCCAGAATCTTTAGTAGGAGCCGAGCTTATTACCTCACTAAGACGAGGGGCGTGCTTCAGACGTCATCCCGCTTCAGAAAACCCTAGGCTTGCCGCGTCCCGACTTCATGGCGGTGCTGCAGTTCTTCCCGCCGTCGTCTCCGGTCGTGTCGGCGAGGTTGCACCCGGTCGTCCTCTTCAGCATCTGCGACTGCTACGTCCGGCGCCCCGACCAGGCCGACCGCGTCATTGGAACCCTCCTCGGCACCGTCTCCGGTGGCGTCGTTGAGATCAAGAACTCCTACGCCGTCCCCCACAACGAGTCCGCCGACCAGGTCAGTCGCGGTCTGTGACGGGGTCTTTCTCCCATCCTCGGTTCACCTATGCATCTCATTACATCATTAACCTTCAGTAAGGATCATCACATGTTATGCACCTTGGTGGTTAAGCATCGTATGCTCCATTACATCCCCATTATAAGCTCTCCAATATGTTGTGGTCATCTGTTCTTGAAGAAACATCCATCATCAGAAAATATTATTCTCTGAACTATATGTATAATATATCTGCTAAATATTTTTATAGTTTTGTAGTTGGGCCTCTTGATGTTTTAATCTCCTTTCGTCAAACTTAAATATTTTTCTTTCAAGAAATTCATAATTTTAGTAGGTTTTAATAAATTTTTTTAGGGAAACTCTTCTCAGGGTAGATGAATTTTGTAGTTGAAATTCTGAAGTAGTCTTGGTAGTCTATGAACACCACATTTATTTTGTCGATATCACAATAATGAAAAGCAGAATATTTGTTTTGGTGCTGCTCTAAATTATCACGATTTCCACAAGGTTAGTCTAGCTTTGATTGGAATTTAAACGATATGGTACGGTGGTTATAATAGCTTTGTGTTATTTCAACTTGATTTCTGATATTTATCAGTATGTTGATACTGTCTAAGAATTTGCAGTGCATTGGCACATTTCTGTTATTCTGTGTTTATGTTTAATGTTGCCACATGCTTAGGTTGCACTGGATGTTGAGTACCATCGCAACATGTATATGTCCCACCTAAAAGTGAATCCCAAGGAAGTACTAGTTGGATGGTAAGTACCTCAATATTTTGGAATTGCCTTGGTTTTTCTGCATTTTTTTGTTGTATATGTATATATAAATATTTCACACAGCTGCATTCGATATGTCCTTGTACTTTTGTATATTTTACCATGATTTTTTTGGTGTCTGTCGGTCTTTTTTTCATCTGTCAGTAAATATGTTGTTAGAAGATTTACTTTCTATGAGTAATAAAGTGTTTGGGTTGGCATTTTTAATCAAATGGGTGGCAATAATTTCTTTTATACTCTGTTTATCTTGGCTTACATGTTTATGACTTTGTTATTGCTACATTAATTTAAAACATGCTTATTATGCAATTAATTTTGCTTCCAAAAATTATTCAAGGTGGCAATTTACAGTAGTACCCAAGGGTAGCATATTGGTTGCTAATGGTTTGGGTTTTGTGAAGTATTTGCTATCTTGAACTAGCACACTCACTGAATTAATCTTGGTTGATAAGTGTTTTTTTAGTTCCCAGAATCACATTTGTAACTTGGTGGTTGACATATACAGAGACATTTTTCTTTGGCAATGGTGGTGAATACAATGATTATATAGCTTGAATATTCACCTATTTCTTTAAGTTTACATCAGCAAGTTGTCAGTTGTTCCTTTTTCTTTTTTGAAGTGGATTTTCTGTCTTCTCTCTTCCAATCTCATCACCTTTAATTGTAAATTAGCTAAGATTTGATCTCTAGAAGACCTCCATTGATTTGGCCTGCACTTTCATCAATTTGCATCTTATACTTTCTCCTTTATAGTAGATACTTTGTGGGTGTTAACTTTCAAGTTGCTGATAATATTGTCATGTTTGTTTATATCCTGAAAAGCACATGCTGATATACCTTGATAATGTACCTCGTGCAGGTATTCAACTGGCTTTGGTGTTTCTGGTGGGAGTGCATTAATACATGACTTCTATGTAAAAGAACTTAAAGATTCCACAAAAGATATCAGGGAAGCACAGAATTCTGTTCCACCTGTTCATCTTACTGTTGACACTGTATTCAGCAATGGAGAGGCTTCCATAAAAGCTTATATGTCTGTTAATTTGTCTCTTGGGGATAGATCACTTGCAGCACAATTTCAAGAAATTCCTCTTGATTTGAGGATGATTGAAGCCGAGCGAGTTGGATGTAAGACTTTCACTTGGAATACTCTTGACATTCCACTTTTCTTGTTATTGTTTTTCATACAAGCTTATGTTCCGGAACTAATAGGATAGGTCTTTTATCTCTGTTGACGCACTTTCTCTGGTAGGCCTTTTTTGATCTTTCAAAACCTTTGTTTGGCCAAAAGTCTGTTTATGACAGGCTGTTAATGGAATGTCTTAACTTTTGGTAAATCATTGTAATATTAATGGTAAATTCATGTAGGCTAGATTAAAATTGAGGGGTTTAAGTTGTTTTTAATCTAAGATTTATTTTCTACGAATAGGTTCATTGATACCATGTTTGTTTTCACTTAAAGATAAAATTAAAGACATCTAGTCTCTGCCTGGTCAAATTTTTTGGTCAGCTACATCTGTAGACTAATTTATGTATTTTTACATACTTACGTGCACACACACATACATATGCTTTTTGAACTATTGCATCAATGCAAATCATATGGCAGTGGACTTGACCTCAAAAGATGCTAGAATTAATTGTGGTTGAGTTCGGTAATTATCTTTTCTTTCATCTCTTTTTGATTGATAATAATGTGCTGCAGCATCCCTGCATGTATGCCTCTGCAAACCCTTAGTAAATATTTTGCATATTGAAGTTTAATTAGTTAGCTTCATTCATATGATTTCCTTTACAAGCTAAGAATTTTTTTTAATAAATGTGATGTTTTCATTCTGCATTATCGACCAAATTTAATTTACCTTTGAGGTTTTAGCTTTATATATTCTTATATTAACTATAGGCAATGTATTTCTTGTAGTTTCATTTTTCAAATTAATGTTGAGAAATTACAATTAGTTTACTATAGTTAATATGCTGCAAATTAGCTAAGAAAAAGATGGTCCAATGTATGAGCTAATGCTCTAGGGAGGGTCAAAGTATGATGCAAACCAACTGCTTTGTTTTTTTTGTTTTTTTTTTCCGACCATGACAGTTGACATCTTGAAGAAAACTGCTGTTGACAAGCTCCCCAATGACTTGGAAGGAATGGAAGCCTCAATGGAGAGATTATATGCTCTGATTGATGATGCTTACAAATATGTTGATGATGTTGTGGTATGGCTCTCCATGGTCCTTTTACCTTTCGATTTCCTGCTCCAAGACTGAAAGTGTTCCATGATTTATCAGGAAGGACGGGTGAACCCGGATAACGATATCGGGAGATTTCTTTCTGACACCTTGGCTTCAGTTCCAAAAATGTCTCCAATAGCTTTTGACAAGGTCTTCAATGACAGAGTTCAGGTGAATGCTTGTTTCCATCTGTAATGCTCATCTGCAGCAGCTTTCTTCGTTGCTAATATGCACCCTTTTCCCTTTGTTACAGGACAACCTTGCATTGGTTTACTTGTCAAGCCTCATTCGGGCACAACTGGGCATTGCAGAAAAGCTGAACACAGCTGCTCAGGTCCTGTGATGTGCAAAGAAGCTGCTATTTCACCGAGTAATTATGATCAATAGCGTAGAGTTACATTTGCGGCATTTGATGGGGCATTTTTCATATTCTGTTCAAGTTTTGGATATGGATAGCTCTCTGTTGTTGATTATCTTCAATAAAAATTCATCTACTTTAACACCACCTCTTAGCCATGAAGAAGATCGACCCAATGGTTCTGTTCCCAATTAGGTTCGAGTGTTTTCCATTGAATTTCTAGACTTTGTCATTCGTTTTGTTGATCCAAATTTTTCTACGACTGCCCTCCCATTGTTCTCATTCTTGCTACAAATTTCTCTTTTTTCATCATCCTTGTGTCTTCAAGATTTCATCAAGTTTCTGTGGATCTCTTTTCACAATCTTGTTTCCTTCTTTCGAGTATTGTTCTCATTTTTTGCTACAAGTTTCTATTTTTTCAACATCCTTGTTGTGTCTTCAATATTTCATCAGAAGTTTCTGTGGATCTCTTTTCGCAATCTTGTTTCCTTCTTTCTAGTGTTTGTTGTGGTTCCCTGCGCATATATGCTGATCAAACTCAAGTCGTCCCCGTCCTTCTTTAGCAGACAGATGGCCAGCAAACAACAATGTCGTTCTCCACTTGATCTGTAAACAAAGCCGTTGCTTATCGCACGCGTCGTCGTCTGCTGCTTGTGCCGTCTTTCACGGTCAAGGAATCTTCCTGCTCCCCGCAATAACCGCAACGAACTCAACAAACGGATTGGCTCCGCTCCGCTGCCATTTATGATCGATCTCTCTCATTCCGTCAGTCCGCCGCTGCCATGAAGAGATCCCTCCTTTTCTTATGGCTCACTCTGCTGCTGCTACTACTCTGCGGTCGGAGCCAGCATCCTTCCTCGGTCCCCAGGAAGATGCTACTATCGACGAAGGCTGATCTCTCTGCGTCTCCTAATGCAAGACTTCATCAAAATGTCAGTCACAGTCATGGCCGGGATTCGCCGCTGGCGGTTGATGGTGGCGAGATCGATCCCCGGTGTGGCGTGGAGAAACGACTTGTTCCGACAGGGCCAAACCCTTTGCACAACTAGCCGACGTTTCATCTGTGGCTGTCGTAGTTGCCTGCAGGGTGAAGGAGCAGTGAGATGGTCGTGGAGTGTTCATATAAATCTTCCAGTCTTTGCTGGCGGAAGTAAAAAGGTCCGATAGATCTCAAAATAATCAGTCTCGTGTTGATATGCTTGCACGTTCATGTTTGTCGGATTGATGTCGTGAAAACAGAAGAACACATATGATTCGAAACCTTTAAGTTTGCCATGGTTTCCATGGCGGAAATTAGGAATGGCAGTGGTGCATTTAGGATCACCGAGTTTGTTCTTCTCACTGTTCATGGTTTTTTCCTTGAAGCCACCATGTGAGGTAGGCATCCACCTGCGACAAGAAGTCAACGCGTGCGAATCACCATGAATGCGAAGTACTAGTGAGTGGTAGGCAACTCCATTCGCTTGTCCTTCCTCTAGCGATCCTCCAATTACAAGTCAACGAGGGAATCAATCACCTCACTGATCGAGATTAAGAACATCTTTCTCTTCTACCCGCCACTACTTGCTATGCTCGCTCGCTCGCTTCTGGCTTTATCATTTCCACAGGGTGTTGCAGAGACAGATGGATACCCTCATAGGTTGACGAGGCCAGTGCGATTAACTCAGTCTTAACACGAGGTGACACAGCCAGCCGTGGAGAATGATTTCTGTACTTATCAACTATTCGTATTGATAGAGGTAAAAAATTGACTTGACATAACACCCCGGATTTGACGTAATACACCCCCCCACGTCGGACGCCCCGTACGACACATTG